CTTTGGAAAACTCTCATCATATGAAAAAAAAAGCACTAAATCTCTACTCAAAAATCTCTATGACGAATGTTTTAGATCCTAACATGAAAAAAAGCAAGCCTTCAATCAGACAGTAACATCTGAGCACAAATAAATGATTCAAATCAGTCATCATTAGTTTACAGAGAAATATCTGGTAAGAATAGATTCATTTGATGCAATTAGGGATTTAGGGAATAAACATCATCATGTCCACGTAGTTTTAGAGCCACTGCCAGATTTCCCTTCGCTGTCTGCTCCCAGCATGCCAATCTGTCATGTCCTTGTTCACATCCTGCCTCTCATAGGCTGCCCTGTGCCGAAAATACTCCCTGATTTAGCCAAAACTGATCCTTTCATAAGCAATTATACACAGAGTGATATGAATGACAACAATGACAACATAGGCTCAGCAGGATCAATAATCTATGAGGCACTGTCTTCATGTGTAGCTCAATTTCAGCTGCGTTCAGTTCCTCAGAAGGTGAGGAAAGGACTTAGCAATGTATGATGCTGATTGCTTGTGATGCATAGGTGAAGGTCAGTGCAGGTGGGGTTAGTCATGCACGGGTCGTCCTTCGTGGGGCAATGAGCAGGGCTCAGTAAATGAGTGTAGCAGAGGTTCTGAGGGTGTATCAAATTGCACTCCGTGAGAAACAATGCCCCCTTAGATCGTAAATCACTGACGGGCCAGAATTTCGCGCCTTTCTGCAGCTCAGCAGGCCTGTTTATACTGACGTAAGTGGCACTCGATAGACTGCCACTAATGCCCAGCACGTCTCACACAGACAGACACATACACACATACACGCACGCATTCACATTCTAGTTGCACACATAACCTTATGTTCTACTAACATCAGTCTTTTTAAATCATTGGAAACTATATCATGCTGTTGATGTTTGTTTTACAAATATGTCACACCTCAGGGTTACATCCAGTCAAGAGTGTAACCCCTTTGAAAGCGGAGGGCTCTTGGACTTAATAGTTTTATTGTCCTTCACTTAAGTGATAAATTATTCCTGAACAAATTCCTGCGGGTAAAAAAGTATCATAAACTGGGAATAAATATCAACAGAGGGGTTCTGCTTTGGATCAATTTGAAAGGCCAACTGACCCCAGCAAAACAACATGTGGACCATAAATTTCAACACAATTTCCTTGGCAGACCCACAAAAACGAGGAGCTGCGCAAGAAAAACACAAGCAAGGTGTCCAGCGATTCATTCACGACAGAGTGTGCGTGCATTTGTCAACTGCACTGAGACAGACACCAATAACTTTTTCACCCCGTTAACTGCCCTCATGTTGTTAGGTCATACAAAAATAAACATAGAAGAGGAGGCAATGGCTGCTTTTAAATATAATGTTCACACTAAATAAGAGTGTATAATGAAAACACACCTCACTCTGAAAAATGGCAGGAAAATTGGGTCTGGGAACTTTCTTTCTCATCCTGAGATATTTCTTTTCGTCTCATTTTTTCAGTTTTGTGTCCCACCCAATCGCTGTGATGTTCTCGGACACTCTCCTGTTATATTCTCACAATGGCTCATGGATATTTTTGAGAGATTTTACAAGGGGACTGGCAGGAGAAGTTCCAGAAAATATCAGGACTCGGATATTTCTTACCAACAGCCCCTTAAGAAAATGTCTGGAGTTCAGTGCATGTCTGAGAGCAGCTTTAGTAAAGATAAGAAAACAAACAAATGAGGGTTATAAGATGCTGCTTGGAGTGTGTGTGTGTGCACATGCTTACGGGAGTTCCTGTGTGTAAGAGGCTTAAGTGTGCTCATGTAAACAACAAACATGCAGTGCCAGTCAGGAGAACCTGTGTGGCCAACTTGTTTAGAGTCTGCAAGGATCATGCTCTATTTTATACGGTAACAGGAAACAAAATCATAGTAGACTTAAAACAACAGAGCAAACTCTGTACTACAAAACACTACTACACAAAGGAAATAACATTATCTCCCATTAATACTTGATGAGCATCGGCTTAATGAAGAGAAGTTTAATGGGTCCCAACTTTCTATAAATAAACAAAATAAAAAATATCTGCTCTAACTCTTAAACAGGATGTTGGAGATACCGCGTGGTGTTTGACTTCTTTCTCTGCTCATCCAGCACCCTCCATCATTCCAGCAGCCCCTGTGACACTTCCTGCACCAGCCCCAGCCCTATCTGCTCACAACAGGATGTCATGACTCCTTAAAACCCGTCCTGGACTAATCCTGGCGAGAAGCCAAACAATGCTTAAGAATCTTTAAAAATAAGCATCATCTTAAGCTCTTTGTCTTTTTCTGAAGAATATTTAACTTGACTAACCTGACAATAGTAGTTATACATATAAACATGAGGTTTCTTTTAAAAAATATCTGATGGAGTGTTGTGACATATATATGTCTTTCTGAACGACACAATGCACTTAAGGATAACCCTAAAATGCTGTTAGATGATACTATGACTAAATATCATTATATATACCCTCTAACAGTTAAATGTTCAGTTTAAAAGTTAAATAATCATCATTTAAATGACTCCAGTGTTTCCACTGCAAAATTATTGCCACCGCTGCTTCAGAGTCAAGACAGACACATTATAGGCCTGATATCCTTGTACTGTGCTGTATTACCCTGCCGCATGTCCTTCCTCTCCCACTGACCTGCACTCACTTTACACATTAACAATGAATCAGAAGTTTGTTAGAACACGTACAGTACTTGAAGTTTACTTTGTGTTTGTTTGATTCGCTCAAGAGTTTATGAGACACGTCTTTAAACATTTTGCGCACAGTTCACCTGCCACACGCAACACGAGACGAGATGCGCACAGCCAGGATGTCATGGTTAAAGTGACCGGAACGTTACTCATTTATGCTCTGACATCATCGATTAATTACTAGATAAATATGATTGTTTTTGTTTGTAAGAAGAGTGACTGAAACATACACACACACGCATTCCTGCAGACAGGAGAGAAACTGAGTTTTAACTTCATTGCTGCAGAAGAAGTGACGCCGCGTTCATCCATGAACCTAACATGAATTCAGCAGGTTTTTATAAAGATCCGTTCAAAGTGTGAGCGATTAGAAAAGAGCATTGGAGCAGAGTCTCTTGTTGAACGGTGCTGTGTAATGCGCCTGGATGCATTGGTGCTGCCAGTGGGGCCACCTGGATACAGTAAAGGCTAGGATCATTTTCCACACAAGCCTTCGTGCATTGATGTGAAATAGTCAAAATAATTCGACACTATTGATTTTATGTAGTTTTAATGTTTTGGGTGGGGGGGTGGCCACACTGCCCCCTCTGCTAAAAAATCTTTGAGGAAACACTGGACTCTGATGCTGCTGCATAATGGACGAGTCAAGATCACACTTGTGTATTAGGGTGTGTTTCTTCGCATGATGTGGTGGCCACTGAAGCAATTAAACTAACTCACCGGCAGCCAGATGCCTTGAGGACTTGAGGCCGTGTAGACATAGTGGGAGTGAGAGGACTCTTATCCACAGCCTCCCGATCTTCACTATCAGGTTCTCCCAGTGGGGTTTGTCTGATAACAGTAGTCCCAGCTCCCGCACTACTCTGGACCATGCTAATGCCATTAGCTACCTCATTACTCCACTGGCTGCTGTCCTATCATAAGCCTGTCACCAGCCTGCTTGCACCTCACCAGCTACCAACCCCCGGGAACCACTACTGTCTTATGGCCGACAGGGAGCCGTCGCAGACTCCTGTCTGTAGGAGCCTGACCCTACGTTTGGCATATTGACAAGAAGAAGAAAGTTTTTCAACAAAACAGAATGGTCTTTGTTTGAAATCATGTGCTTTACAAAGATTACAATGGTAGAAAAAAAAGCATCACGAATATAAGAATTTTGTGTTTGTGAGGAAAGGAGTTGGTATGATTTCCCGTCTCCAGCAAACCTCTGAACTTATTTTGCAGTGTTGCAAAGGTTACACATGGTTGATATTTTTGTTTTAGAAAGGGAAGCCGTTGCCATTCTTAAACTTGGTTGTTAGTGTTTTTAAAATTAGGTTTGACCATTTTCTGGAAGAAGCACACCCACTAGGCTTAACAAAAATCTAAACCTATTACATTACATAATCCTAATGCATGCCGTAGGTCACAATGATACAATAACGATTCATTTGTTCCTAAGCACCTGGCTGCATCAACTTTGACAAAAAATAAACGAGGTGCAATTTATTTGAACATTATAAAAGTTTAACCTTCCTGCAAGTTACTTTTTTATATCCTGCAGAAATGATTAGAAACCAATGGTGCCTGGATTGTATCACATCCACAGTTTCAGCCCAAAAGCATGTTTTCCATTAAAACACAACATTTCTTCAAAATTGATCCAAACTTTTAAATTGGAGATGTTTTATTATTGTCTGGACAAGGTTTGCACAGCTAAGACACTAAAGGTTATGATACATGTGAGTGGAGCCAATAATGTTCTGCTCTGTCTCAGAAAACGATGGCTGAGTGCGGGCACATGCTGGTTTTAATCACCATGTGAAACACGCCGTTTGAGAAATGGATGCAAGGGCAATTAAATACAAAACAACTGGATAAATTAATGTGTAACAATTCAAATGGGGCTTGATAATTGTGAAAAAACTAAATTATAATTGTTTTCCAAACAGATCGTTCAATTGAATGTTCTACCCACACACAAATGTGTGCATTTTCATGTGTTTGTGCATATGTGTATTGAAATACACTGTAGAATTTTAAGTGTTGCATGTGTAATTTTCCATGCAGGTACAGCATAAATCTGTAGACACTGAGAAGGTTTTATTTTCCTTTAGAACAAGTGGATAATAAGGGCAATTAACTGATCTGCAGCTAAATGTTAACATATCATATCATTCAAGACATAGAAAATAAAAATGAAAGAGTTCATCTAAAGAGGAATTCTACAAAAAAATGTCAGTTTCTCGCAAAAGAAACAGTAGTAATTTTTTATGCCCTACCTTGTTCCTCCAAAGAGGATGATTCGATCTCCCACCATACAACAGCACTGTCGTCTCCGCGGGCATGGGCCTTTCCCCTTCGGCTCTACTTTCGTCCAGGAAAAGGCTTCTGTGTGTTTACACAAGGCAAGAATTGAGTTGAAATAACAATATTTAGACAGAAAGTCGTTAATACACACATATACACATGGCTAACTTCTATCAAACTCAGTGGAGACAATATCCCTTTTTGTTCCATGTCCATCATAAACCATTGAATATTAGAAAAAAACAATCTAAACTGGTGGACACATAAACCTTGTTGTAGTTTTTATCCCGACAAACCAAAGCTCCCCCAAATATTTATGTTTGTTTAAAAGCCAGTTTTGCTTGTTCCAATGTGGCAGAGCAGTGAAACACTGTAGCAACAGGCAGAAGAGGTGAATGCAGTGCAAGTGTAGAAACACTGTCTACGCTCCAAGCCATTTTAAGTTACATAAACATACAAATGATTCCCAGTAAACCAGGGGACAGGGATACAGGAATAAAATGAAGCCAACAAAGCAAAAAAAAATAAGTCTTGACTATATTTGAATAGAGAATTTTAATTTCTGAAATAGAAACAAGTCCTCTCTTCTGCTGAAGTGCATCATGAGTGATGATGTAAACGCAGTCTCAGTTATTCCATATAAGGATGAACTGAGGAGCCTCAGACTCTTAGAGCCAACAGCATCATAGCATCTCTATGGCAACAGGACATTTAGACTACAGTGGATAATTAGCACTCTAACTAAAGTGCCGCCATCTAGTGGACGGACAAAAAGAGGTTTAAATGGTTAACAGCAGACACCAGATATGATTGAACATTATGGTGCATGTTTGGTGCAACAGTCCAGGTTTATTTTTAATAACTAAGGCACTGGACCTCAAGCTAGTGTCAGGAGCTGTATTCAAAACTCCCATGTCTTCCATAATGCAAAGGTAGTCAATATATAATGACATCAACACCATATAGGACACTATATTAAAGATGTGGTGTGTTCTGCCTGCTGCATCAACACTATTCTCTGTTGTGAACACAAGGTTTCTTCAGGTAAACACTTGAGCTTACTTGAGAATCAATCTGGCAACATTTGTAAGAGCAGGCAGAGACTCCAGTGACTAAATTATTTTAAATTATTTCCATCAGCTTTTCCCGTGTGTGTGTGAGTATTTCTGGCAACAGACAGGGTTTTTCATACAAAAAGGGGAGCTGCCTGCCAATATCACAGACAGACAATGATACAATGAGAGAGAAGAGGATTGTCTGCATCAGTCTCCAGAGAAAAGTGAGGGGAACGTGGGTCAACTCCAGCCAACACAGCCAGTGCTGTATTTTCTCTATGGAGGTAAACAGTGAAGGTAGATCAAAAACAAAATTACTATACTATAAATACTATAAATAAGTATGGAATCACCTGGATTGAATTTCCAGAGGTCGTTGAAGTGCTGGTCCAGGCGAGCATTGTATCCTCCAAATATGTACAGCTCTCCTTTGTAGGAAACTAAACAAAAGAAATCAACAGATTTGTATTATCTGTCATGAAGATCAATGACATCTGCAGCACAGTATATGGAACCAGAAGGACTTGTTTAATCAGACAAAGTGGGGGAAAATACATTCTCGTACTATATAAAGACAGACTGAATGCCTGAGAAACTGAGAGGTCACACTGAATGACTCCTGAGTGGGAATTATTCCGAGGTCTTTTGCGTTGTGAGCGTCCACACTCTGCGACATACAGAATAACATGAGGCTTGCAGTGCATTGATCTGACCTGTAACTGTCTTATCCTCCCACAACCATCTGACAACGTAACAGTGTTTGGCCCATGAAACAAATTTTTGTCCAGGTGGACATCTGTTCAAAGCTCACTCTCCCAGTGGTCACTCGACAGCTTGCAGAATCAATGTAGCGAGTCGATTCCTCCCTCACTCTCATTCCTCTCGTGTAATTATTTTCTCTGACATTTAACATTTTGCAGACTGCAGAGTTTTCGAGCTCGTCACCTGTGACAGACAAATCTTTTAGCTGTTTGACAGATTTTCTCGTTACATCTCTGCTGTTAAAGATGAACTAATTTGCACTGGTCATGAATTTATTTTTCCTCTGTGGAAGGAGAACATGCAACAGCAGCCTCCAGAGACCCCTGCTGGTCAAACTGCACTTACAAAACGATTTAAATGTTGATTAACCCTTGAAGAGTCACTGTCAACAGACTTAAAAACACTCACTAGCCAAGAAACATAAAGCTACAAAGAATATATAACGAAACGCTACAAGACTGTAGGTACAGTGGTACTCTCACCATTCAGAAAGATTAGTTGTAATGAATGAGCATGTATTTATCTGCCCCTGAAATATAAGGACATTTCAGATGTCTCTCCAGAGTAGTAGAGGACTCTTGTTCAGCTTTCTGCACAAAAATGTCTTATAATGGCAGGGAAAACCATGATTTGTGCAGAAATTAATGATACCAATAAGAAAATACTGCCATAATTTCCTCCTCTTATAAACATATGTCCGGCTATTCAAAATAAGAGAACCATATGTTAGTTTTAAGACAAGAGACAAATCATTAACTTCACTAAGTAAAAAAGATAAAATGCTTCATTACACCCACAGTTTATTCAGAAATGCGCCCATCTGTTGTTGCCTAGCAAACAATATTGTCAGTTATTGTTACTCCTCATATCGTCTCACATAGCCAGAACGATCACCACAGTGCTGCGTTAACTGCAGAACACAGGTTGCACCCATTATCATTCTGTTATAGTGGGGAAAAAAAACTCTGTCTCGTTTGTATTTCTTAAACCAATCACAACTGTCTTGTGCAGCTGAGGTCAGGATGCAGCAATATTGCAAACACAAAACCCACAGCAACGTATCAGAGGGAACTTGTTTTAGTGCAACATCTGCAGGAAGTCAAATACTGTCCTTCTAGTACAGTGATCATGTTGAGTTGTTCATCATGGTGTGTCAATGTGTATTTATATCTTACAAGCTGAATGACTCCTGCGTCCGTCTGGCGATGGCTGTGTTGGAGGGGTGCTCAGCCAGCAGTTAGTCTCTGTGTCGAACACTTTGATCTTGTTGCAGTAAATCTCGTTGTCAGAGTGGAAGGGACCAAAGCGGTCGGCTCGACCTCCGAACACAAACATCTTTGTCCCGATGATGGTGGCTGAGTGGAAGTCTCTCCAGCGCGCAGGACTGCCCTGTGAGAAGACAGCCGACAGATAATGAGACTCCATAAAGTTTCAGTGGATAGATGGAACAGGACAGAAACAGAGGACACTGAATGTAACTCACAGAATTTAACAATACACTTGAATAACCTAAATTGCACCGCATGAACTAGTTTTAGTCCAAATCTCTATAATGTTTTAAAACTTACTCACTGTTACTCTGGATATATACACTGATCACCCTCAACATTCAGACCACTTAGCAGTTTCAGGGCTGTGACTGATTAGTGAAAACTGCAAAGCTTCACCTTCATACTGGCAAACATAAAGCTTAACCAGCAACTTCAGGTAAACAGCAACATCTAGTGGACATACAAAGAAACTCAATTCATCTTTTTAACCTTTATAACGTGCTGATATTTGGACATTGTATAAGATTTTGGGGTAAATGGCTCAGAACGATGATGCAGCCTAATCTATCAACAATAACAATAGATAAACAAATATACAAGAGTGAAATGTGACCAGTTCGCAGTGAATCAAACTATGATCAGAGGCATTTGTCTACTCTCTTTGCATTAAGCTGGTCTGCAGCCACAGCAAAGCCTCTCACATGCCTTTCTTTCCAGAACGTGCTGCCATTGTTTTCCACAAATTGTATGCATGCAAGCAGGCTCTTTATCATGCTTTATAAATAGAGCAGTGGGAGAAAAAAATAAATTTTCGTAAAACAGAAATGTTGTGTAAGCTTTTTAAAACAACCAACTAAGTAAAAATTATAAAACTCACTGTAAATATCACTGTGCTATAAAAAATGTTCTATCAAGTGCAGTAAAAAGCCAGATGTATTTAGAACGGTCACCTTTACAGAAAACAGGATTTGAGTGGAAGCATAGCAACTATGTTTGTTCTCCAAAAAGGAATGCAAGTCTGAGAACAAGCACAAAAAAAAGATTATTCTGTCACATGCACTCCTAAATCGGTAAGCACCACACTGTAATCTCCTTGACAACAAAACGTTGTCAGTGAGGAGCTACGAATATGGGCTGGTGGCGTGAGCCCTTCCTTCACCTAGTCCACCATAGGGAGTGGTGTCTATATTTAAAATACATTTTACTAGAGTTTATCACATGAGCAGGTTGACTGCATGCAAACGCAAATGGCATTTTCCAAAACGGGAGTGTATATAATCCTCTGAGGCTTTTTGTACTTGGCCACCTACCAGGGAGCCGCGTCACACTGCAGTGGCTTTGTATCCAGCCAATCTGACCACTGGACGCTTGAGCAGCAGCACTGCCGTCCACGTTAATACCCAGTGGTTTGTTGAGCTCCTACGGTGCTTTGAATCTAACTGAGTGTGTTGGAGTCCATTCAATGTTTGTGTATCTTTGAACGAGTGCATTGCGTCCTTGTCAATTTCTGTATAGGAAGAAGTTAAACATTTTTGAAGAAGTAACAACTGGTGACTGCAACTTACCCTGGCATTAATTAATGACCAGACCATGGTGGTGGTGTCCAGCTTGTGGATGTCATTGGAGAAGCAGTCAGCCTAAAAAAACCCAGCAGAGATTAATTAAACTGTGATTTAATGTTTCAGAGAGCAGGTCCCACAGTGACGAGTGATAAAAACTCACCAGCTGTTCATATCCTCCAAATATGTACATTGCCTTCCGCAGGACGCAGGCGGAGTGGCCATCCCTTGCCCCTGGAAGAGTCCCCGAAGTCTTGGGCGTGAACCATCTGTGGGTGTCTGTGAAGAATTAACACTTTATAGTAACTCCAGGCACCCCTGCAAAGGACCTAACCTCTAATCTTAAAGTACAATCATAATATATCACACAGAAGCAGGTGGTAAAGCTCCCTAACATAAATACATCCATTTTCATCACGATCTGAATATCCAACAGGTACATCTCAAGGAAACGCAGCCTGAACCATAATTTAACAGCATGAGGTAGCAAGTCTACTTACTGACATCGAAGGCATAAAGCACATTACAGGCCCCCTCTGTGTCGTTGCGCCCACCCCAGAGGTAGATAGAGTCATCCAGCAGCACAGCTGTGTGACCGTAACGCATATACGGCACCTCATAGGCACGCTCATGTGTTCCCGTCCTCACTGGAGGCAACTTCATCCAGCGCAGAGACACTGAAGTACAAAAGAGCCGAGAAAGACAAAGATATTTAATGGGGAAAATAATGACTATTAACTTTTAGAGGCCAAAATGAAAATATAATAACGTAAAAATATATCTAAAAAATCGTAGATTCTTAAGATTCCTTTAATGGTAAAAAAAATAGTTTTAAATGAAAAGACATGGCAAATAGAAAAAGACTATACAGTGCAACACAATTGTGTCTTTGTGGCTCCAATAACTCAAAAGCCATTGATCTTATCAGCTTCACACTTGGCATGTGTATTGTTATGTGCCCAAAGAAGCGCAGTGTTGAAAATTGTTGTGAGTTGGACACATGAGTTCAATATTAATAAACAGGTGACCAGCGAGTGTGCTTACGACAATGACATGTTTATGACAACAGGCCCACAACAACCAATCACTAGTTCAGGGTTCTGCATACTGAGTTGAGCTTCACAAAACTCTGTGATGCAGCATCAGGTTTCTGCGGACTGAGTCCAACAATTGGTCTTTACTTGCTGTGGCTTGCTGTAAGTCACTTCTACAGTTTCAGAAAGAAAGCTGCAACCAGCATCACCACAGGCACTGCACTAGTAACTACAATATAAAACCACAACACATTGATAACTTTGTTTTGAGACAGTCCGCTTTGAGATACATTTTCAAAAGGAATACAAAAATTAAAAGAATCAATAAGAGTTAGTGAAACAATGCATGGCTGCATGTGCTGGAATTTTAGACATGAAACTCAGTAATAACATTTAATCAGCATTTGCCATTTTAACCAATGCTTTGTATGATGAAATGTAATCCAATGCCATAAGAACAAACTGCTTATTTTCCAGATGATTTTTTGCATGTGTTGAGAAGCTCAAATCAGTAGACACTGAAAAGTAAAGACAAGTAAAGAAACAGGACAAAAAAGCAAAAGACAGCTGGGTCTGCTGTAAAACAGACTTCAAAGGGGAGAGCACAAAGCAAGTGACAAGAATAAGTACTGAAACAATAGCTGAGGTGGTCCCGTTTCCATCTCTATCAGCTGAAGGCATCTTTATCAAGGTTCGTTTCCACAGATCTTTTCATGATGCAGCACTAGCAGGTAGGCACGAGCGACTTTAGGAAGTTATAAAAACCTATGGCAGGTGGTTGACAACACAGAGATAAAAATATTTTAAAAAATAGGTTGCGAAGAAGAAAAGAGAGCAGTTATATCAACGTTAGAGCACCACATTGAAAGAAAAACACCTGTGTTTGTGAGATAGCGATGGAAAAACAACCAACAGAGAGATTTCCACAAACCACAGTTGAAAGTGAGGTTTCGCCAGCTGTACAGAGTAACTGTTAAAGTGGTGACAGTTCAAAATACTCACACCTCTCTTATCCTCTTCCTGTTCAGAAAGATATTTTCTTGCTTCATGACAGATAACATAGGGCATTTAAGGAGAATGCCTTTACTCTTTCTTTGCACACAATTATTTTGTACAAGCACACAATATTTTTGGTGCAAGCAAAAAAACTACAGTTGATAGATTCATTTAAATAATATGACACACATATACTTGAATTTCAGTGTGGTTCTAATGTGTAATTCAAACACTTTAATACATCAGGGTGCTTGAGACATAAAAATGTTACTTTTCTTTATTGTTAGAAGGTTTTTCAGTTCATAAAACTGATGAATGGTGAAGTTCCCACAACAGTTGCTCTCACAGTCAAGAGAGACAGCTGGACACAACAGACCATTTCAAGAATTCATATGCCTAAGTTCAGGCTTCCCAGTAAACCAACAACAAACAGGATACTTAGATACATGTGAAAATTCACCACCCACCTGTGTTAAAGACGTGCACATCGATCTGACGGAGAGTCTCGTAGTCCTCTCCAGAGCAGTAGCCTCCAAAGGAGTACACTTTGTGCCCCACAGCCACAGCAGCATGGTTGACTCTCCTCGGCCCTCCTTCTAGGTGCACCGACCAGCGCAACATTCCACGCGCTAGCACCTCTGTGACTGCCGAGTCCTTAGACCATCACTTTGTCGCACGCTCAGACCCCATCAATTCAACGCCATCAAAACCTGTGATCATGCAAACAGGAGGAGTAGCACTTTACTGAGGAGATCTGAGGGGCAATTTGGGAGGGGCAATTGAGGAGAACACAAAAGGGGACCCGTTTGTCCTCTTGGGCTAAAGAGTTGCACAGCACTGCTGTTGCTGACAGGCACAAGCCCTCGTATTATCTAAGCTGGGTATTTTAAGAGGTGCTTAGACCTACACCTACCATCCTTATTTCTTTCTGCTCACTCGTATCCCTGTGCCCTCCCACTGCACAACAAAAATGTTAAATATAGTATTCTGCAAAAAAAAGAGCTTCCCTTTTATACATAACCAAATCAAAAATAACTTGATCAATATAAATAACAATAAGGCACCACAATTATGTGACAGAGAAGTGAGTGTGAATTTTGATGCTTGCTTTTGCATGATTGGATGGTCAAGCAAATCAAAAGTATCTGATGAAAACTCCTGAGGACAGATCGGCAGCAGGTTTCTAATCTAACCATTATATCTGCAAAAGGTATTGAAAAACAACAGGTTAATATTGACTCAGTTAAACTCACTTCTTGCAAAACCCCATGTGCCCCCAGTTTATTTAGACCCAGTGACTCACTTTCTCACTGACCTCCAACCTTTGTTTGCTCTTAAAAATAAACCCCCACAAGACCATTTCACATGGACCTTTCTATTTCCAGACCACCCTTCTGTGAACAACACGGGCCACGTCCAAGCATCAGGAAACTGTCTCAGTCTTCACTTTATTAAAGTAATCGCTGTGTTTACCTTATCCACTGGGGCATACTGTGAGAGCTGCCATGTGAACTCAACACCACGCTCGGACATGGGGTCAATGTCGCCTCATCGTTGCTGCAGTAAATCAGTTTCCAGCAGTTTAGCCTGAGTATATAAAAAAGCGTCTCTCCCAGATCTTAGCCTTTATCTTTATGTGGGAACAGGGACATCTCAGTGGGAGCAGAGTTGGGGACAGAGCAGCTTCGACACCCTCCTGACCCCCTGAACGGGATATTGTTGATATCAGATGACAACTTCATAAAACCGACATGTTAACCAGACAAAAGTCCTGCACACTGTTAAACATGTCCCAGTTATCAGGGGGGCACATGCATGATCGATAATGCTAATCTAGAGCCGTTGACATTGAGCTGTTACACGGTTCCTACAACAGTTATCGCCTCATACACAAGCTAGCCGACGTTAGCTGTAGCCAAACTGGGACAACACACGCCTATAAAGACACAATGGCTGACTCACAGAGTGTATTATCTCACAGCACCCACCTTAGCAACAACCACGAGTATCGACAGCAGCCAGCTGTTTGATAGCCACCTGCCCGGGCGGAGGAGGAGGAGGAGGAGAAGTCGCTGCTAGCTAGGCTAAAGCTAACCTGCAGGAGCTACCTTACTTAGCTGTTAGCTAGCTAACCTGCACTGGAATGAAGACGAGCCGGCAAACAGCTGAAACACCAGCGGCTGCTTCCAGCCCGGCGAGTAAACACACAGCGATATCGACAGAGGAACAACGGTTCACTACCTTCGGCAGGTCGAGTCGGTTGTGGTTGACCGGTGTTCAGACAGGGTAGTGCTACCGGGAGCTATCCCAGACCGAGCGAACTACTCTCTTCTACCGGTACTTCGCGAGTTCCATACACAACGAGCCACCCAGGAAGTAGCCACATCCACCTTCTCCAGAAGTCCCACCCTGGAGGAGGCTCAGCACGTGGGGAAGCTCCCGATCATAACATTTAAGAAACACACGCAGATTTTAATATGTTTTAATTCAAATATTTATATCATCTGTAGATCAATTATTATTGCTGCTGCTGTCATGATAAAACATCCATATTTAAGTTGGTGGGGTTTATTCACTGATTTCTTGATTCATCGGGATTAACTTGCAGCGTAACATGTTGGCAGGATGATGGAGAGAAGCTTTTAAATGTAAAGATGAAACCTGTACACCGTGTCTGAAAGTTGAGCAGCACTGGAAAACTCGAAATACTCGATTCATCGAGTTTCTTCCATCATCGTATCCACATGCTCGCTCCCTCGTCACATGTTGGGAGGAGACGCGTGCACGAGCACCCCCTGTCGGCTGTTTTCATCCTGGAGAAACTCCTTCTGCATTTTCACACTGCAAAACTTCCCACTGTGAGAGTTCGAGGAATTCTGCACATAACACTCACTGCTGGTCACCTGCTGCAGTCTTTACTGATATACAGACAACTATTGTGTTGACACTTCATGGAGGGATTCTTTACATTCTTCAATGAAAGGTTAGGCCAAGTTGTTTTTAAGCAGCGTGGCTGGATTAACGAGTTCAGAGACCTTTCACCCTCCGTGTTTGTGACATATTCAGGTCCATACCTGCCTCCTCCAGTCGAGTAAAGTGCAAGCAGTCAATTATACCTGACAGCACCTTATTTATTTCAGAAATTGTGTGTATATAGCATCATTTTTGTGTATTTCTATTTTTATTCATATCTTTACTGTTACTACATTTTCCCTTTGCGCTGCTACTTTGTTGCTGTGCTGCTCTGTCATTTGAGAATTTCCTCTACAGAGGATAAATAAAGGTACATCTTATCTTATCTTAAATTCAGACATAAATTTATTATGAAATAACACCAACTGAATCCAAGTTTGTGTTTCTTTGCTCTATCACTGTGATAATCCACATAAAATAAAAACATATTAATGTCTTATTACTATATAACAATTAATGGAACATCGGTACAAAAAAAGAGACAAACAATGATGTATAAATTATATTATGGGCAATGATTTGTTGCTGCTTCCATTTCTGGGTCAGTATTGGGCATGTATATACTGGCTTGAAGGGAAATTTGAATAGAACAGAGCTTTTCCTATGATAGTATTTGTCTTTGGGGACAGGGCAGGATCCTTGTCAAGGAAAAATAAATGTGTTGTTTAAGAGATAGGTTCCCTTTTGTGCTGAGCCAGAACATTTATGGGGAGCCAATGTAAATCTGAGGTGCAATCTGTGGGAAAAATACATTTTGATTGCACTGCTTACAGCTCAAATCCATGCTGAGGCCCCAACTTCAGAGGTCACAACTCAAGAAGCTTGGGAACCAGTGGTTGAACTGAATAAGGTGACAATGAAATGAGCTGAAGAAAACCCTGGCCCAATTTCACTGCTTCACACAGTAACATCATTTAAACAGTAGAGGGTGCTGTTATACATGTTTTGTATTGCCAATGAGGTCATCAAACTGTCACAGGCCCAAACACACAGACTCACTGCCCAAAATGTTTCTAAGAATATGATCGTACCAGAGGATTACTGGTCACATGGGCAATGCACTTAATAATCTGATACTCTGTGTTGGCTGCTTGCACAACAGCCATTTCACGAGGACTGGAAAAGCATGGTCAGTGATCAAACAGCATCCCCGGAGAACTCAGTGGTTTAGTGTGAATTTGTTGAAAACACTTAGGCATGGTTGTAGCATATGGACACAGGCTGGTGCAAGGCCAGTGTAACAAGCCAATAAACAAGCCAAACAAACTTAGCTTATCTGAGTGTAAGACATGTATTAGGTAGAAATTTCAATCTGATATAAATGACAGTCCTCCATTTTGTGGCCACCCCCAATGCAATGCTGTCAATGAGTGGGATCTTGGGAGGCTTTCCTGAGTTCAAGAAGAAAAATATCAGAATAGAAATTCTTATGGGGATATCAGACCTTGTCTAACTGAGGTCAAGCGGAGGGGGCCATGGATAAATGAAGACAACTCTGCTGGACCTCGCTATTTTATAATTTGAGGCCTATTCCAGTGAATTTGATTTAATCCCAATAAACCGCCTGCTTAACGCGTCTCTAATGTAAACACAGTGTGACGCCTCATGCAACTTCATTTTGCTACCTACACATTAAAAGCATCAGATTACAAAGGGCTGGCTTTGGTGTGACCGGCCTGGTTCCAAATGGTCAGGCTGGAGTGAGAGTAGAGCCTTGTAAAAAAAGGATTATGGCACAGAGGACCCACGTTACAGCTGCCGTGGATCTCGTTGTATCGCTGCCCAGGTCTGGTTCACTTAGGAGGGGCTTCGATTGATTCATTGTGTGCAGGCATTCCCAACCCTGTGCCAGCTGCACATCATGCACAATGGAGAGATTGTAGCTGCGGCTGCCCAAACGACAGCTGCCCATGGCTGTCCCCTAGAGCTCCGAGAGGTGATTACATAGCACAGACGGACAGCTATTGACAAAATAGGTTTGCATGCATTCTAAAGTGCAGATCCTAAAATTGTTATTGCTCAAAAGTTGTCAAATATATTTCTCTGTTGTTAATTACTTTTGTAGAATCAACAAAGATGTGATATCAGTTCAATACAAATCCTGTTTTCTGTTGACGCACATGCAAAGTTTTAAATGAATTCTGATGTGCAGATCCTGAAAGCTGTCCACTCAGCAGTCATTTCACATACTCCAGTGACATCACGTAGTTGTTAGATGATGTTATTGTCTGGAAGCGGACCCAGGAAATTCTGGAAATGACTTGGTTACGTTTGTTTAAATGATCACATGTCTGGGACACAGGATGTTATTTTGGGTAATTGTTTTGTTTTTGAGCTAGCCCATCCAAATCTCGGATTGCATAGTGGAATATAGAAATGCATTTATGTAGTAGTGTTTCTAGTCTTATCAACCACTCAAAGTGCTTTACATTACAAGCCACATTCACTCATTCATTCATTCACGCATTCACTCATACATTCATACAGCTCTTCTTTATGCTGCGCTTTTTCCATCACAGACCCTTCACTCACTGCCAGCTCAGCCATCAGGGGCAATTTGGGGTGCAGTGTATTACCCAAAGACACTTTGGCATGCAGACTTGAGGAGCCAGAGATCAAACCACCCACCTCCTGGTTAGTTGATGACCCACTCTACCTCCAGAGCCACAGCCACAATGATATTACACTAAGACAAGCACACACCTTCCCTTAACTTTCCTCAGTCTATGGAGGGGGAAAGTATAGCCCACTGTTTATTCACCAACAAAGAGAAGAGCTGACTTGTTTACTCTTTCTTGAAGTTACCCTTAAAACTGCCATTATTTGGTTATGCCAATGGTTTGTTATCTCATCACCATTTAGAGATGTTACTCCTGTGTGACCTCAGTGACGAGAGGTGATGTGTGTGAGGAGTAGTAGTTGTGAAAAGTGAGTGTGTCATCTCGCAGCCCAGCCCAGTGAAAGTCTTTGTGATCTCTTGCAGCTACGCCCAGCCCGTCTGCCGTTCCACCTGTCAGCATTTGCACAGATTGCATCACCCATCTGCCCTGCTGAGCCCCTCTCTTGACACATTTGCTTAGTGGTGTGTTTTATAAACTTTACAGCCAGCACATGTGGTGTCTGTCTGTTGTTATGCCTTGACAGAATGAACAGGAGTTGCCCAACTGCAGCATAGCTCCGCAAGTCAACAACAACTGCTGAGACCAACTGTTGTTCGGTATTTTTGGGCATGGCCCAGTGATGGAAGAGCTCAGCAATGCTTTGTGGCAGAGAAAAATACAGCCTGGACTTAGACATGGCTCCTTTGGTTAACCTTTTTCTTCACCAGGGCACATAAAAGTCCTCAGTGTGCTGTTGTAAAACCAGTTCCGTGCAAAGTACACCAATAAAGGAAAGGAAAAGGAAAGAGCCATTTGTTGATGCTGACGTGAAAAAAAAATACTGCGATAGTTTAGTAAAATTGTGCCGCCCTGTGTTCGCCTGCTTCTCTATTCAATTTTTGTATGGCAGAGGTACTAATTTTTTTTCTCAGCCAAGGAAACCCTACAAGATACAAATATTCCCTTGAATTATTTGACACAGCCTATTTTTACACCTGTAAGGAATGGGCTGTTTGCTTGGCCTATGGTGATGCTGGTTGCAGCTGAAACAGTTTTTTACAGAAACTGTAAAAGTGACCGGCAGTAATTGAGCTGCACAAGTAAAGACGGACAGCAGGACTATACCCACAGAACCCTGAAGCTGCACAAAGAGCTGTTCACCTGTTTATTCAAAGTTCAGTGAAGCTTGACTCAAACTGGACAGTCAGTTGTTGCTGTTGTCGTGAACACGCCCGCTGCTGTGATTGACAGTGTCACTTACGTTGATAAGTCCCAGCAGGTGCAGCGGCAGAGCGCTGGTTTATTCAAAATGATTTAACATTGAAGGTGTTATGTGTCCAAATCGTACCAAATTCAACATTGTACTTCCTTTGGCAATTAACAACTCACTTGCCAAGTGTGACGTTGATAAGATGAACGGTTCTCTAGATGTGTGTTCTACATACAGACAGGGATTTCTTAAATTAGTAAGATGTGAAATAACAACACAGGAGTGCATTAGTGTCTTGGAAAGCTGAATTGCCTGAAAAGACCGTTATCGGATTTTGCACTAATGAAACTGTTGAGGTTCCTTCATAGTCTCCACCATGTGTTTTCATTGCATGGGCCCAAAATAAGTTACATTTTTGCTGTAGACCACAATCATGGTGTAGTAGCCTTCAACCACTTTGCTTTTCTGAAACTTTAAATATACAATCCTGCTTCAAACACGTGCGTCTATATATGAGCTCAGGTCTGTGCGCAGAGATATTCCATGGATGTAACACACTGATTTGACTTCCGCTATAGCTGGATTAGGTCAACAGCATTAAGCGCTCCAGAATGATGTCATAGAGCATGATCTAACTCTGCCGCCAGATGATTAAATCATACATTTTCCTTTAATTTGTGAGGGTTATTAAATGAACAGAGCTCTTCTCTGTGTGTTACTGAAGAAGACGATTGGTATGTGCCTCAGGCCATTTTCTCGCTCATGGTTCATTTGAATTGCTCTGAAATAGGAGTGAAATTAGTACTTTGTTGCAGCTTTTTATTGGTGAGGCTATGTTTTCAATTAGAAATTAACCAACAAGCTGTCATTTATAAGCAGAGTCATATGGCTGTGCAGGGAGGCCTGTTATTGGACAAAGCTTCAAATCCTAACAGATGAGTGATTTCATAGAGTTTTATTGTTTCCACTCTGGACATAAAAACGTTTATAAATGCAAACAGAGCTGTATACATTGGTGAGGGCAGGTTTGACCTTCGTGCCTATTTGCAGTTGACCTCTGACCTGAAAGACAGATTGAGAAAGTAGAGTAAAGAATTCACAGTTTAAAGTCATAAAAGTAAATCTTGAGTTTACTCAGCATGACACTGAAGTCAGTTTGAAGTAAGAGAAACACATCTGCAGTTTTGTGGTTTGTTCTTTGGAGGTTGCTTGTTACCTTTCATATTTACTCCACTGCATCTATGAACCCATTTCTGTAGTTTTTACTCAACTGGATTTCTACTATGCATAAAAGCAAGTACTTACTTTTACTCAAGTAAAGTAAGTAAATGTGGTACTCTTCTTTCTTTCTTTCTTTCACTCATATTTTCATTCCATTTCATTTTGAGATATTGTGT